GTCACCGGTCCTCCAGCGATATTGAACATCTAGGGCTATAAGTAGCCCATTATGTCCTGTAAGTTTCACTTCTCATGCTGAGTTCAAGCTCACAATCGCTGATTGGTCGATATTGTTCAAAAACAGCCTTAATGACAAATAATTGCTAGTATTGTCCTTCATGACCAGGCGGAAACTGATCAAAGTTTGGCCGGGGACTCTCCTCTGGAATAGCCTTGGCCCCTAGCTTGACTATAGAATATTTCTTGAGAAAATAGCCTTGGCCAAAGGCATTAAGACAGTATCGCATATCGCATCAAGACAGTCCACACCATGCTACTGCGCATGTTATCTGAATAAACGCCAAGGAGGAAAGAGTTGGGAACGGTCCACGTTGGTAGTAAGGGCGGAGACAGAGAACTAATCAGATAGAAAAATATAGGGAGAGATTTGCAGCTCTTTCCCCAAGTGGCGTGCCCCTTCCCTTACACATTTAGATTGAGCCTTACTTTTATTGAACTCTGTTCCTGGGAATTAGCGCAGTAGTAGAAATATCACCCAAATTTAGGGAGCTCAAGTCGTAGAGTGTGAATATTATTCACTTTATTCAAAGGCATAAAGTTGTTTTGTCTCTGGATTTCAGCTCAATACGATCCGTACAGCGATTTTTCGTATGTAGCGTTGAACAAGCGACGACGTGGAGATATTGAACGACGAAATAGTGAAAAAATAGAAAATCGATATGCACAACCGGCTGTCAAGAAGGTTTACATAAAAGCGAACGGCGATCCGAGAAGTAAAAAGTGTGTTTCTCAAGTAAATTTGGTTTTCTTTCTATTAGTCACGATCCCTGCAAGCGATAGGGCGTGTGACTCAGTATGGATCGTGGCGCGGCTGAAGCGGTTTCTTGATATAAATCATGTCATCGAGCACGCTGCAAATGGTTGCCCTGTGAACCACGCCCCCTTCATACCCAGGGATCATGACTGCAATTGCGACGTTATTCTCATACTTACTAAACCGGTCTTTTAGGCCCAAACTGTTCATTTGGCGAAAATGGCAGTCGCCAACTCTGGCTGGTCTGCGAGCGGATATGGCGCCATATGTTGGACTCGAAATGGCATCGGCAATTTATGACATGTTTGTGATAGAATTATAAAATCTGATATTTTACTGCGAACACTCCTTTTTTGGACGCGTTTTACTCCCTTTCTTAGCTGTGGCGGTAATGAGGTCCTTCCAGGTGAGCCTGCTGCTAATTACCCCTAATTGAATATCCCTCCAATTAATTACATCTTCTTGGGGCAATGTTCCAATAAGGGGCCCTATTGATAGTGCTATATACCACCTTCAACATCAAGGTTTTTTGACCGCATAAGTTGTCTCACTCGTCTGGCCCACCGCCTTATCACTGCCAACTCATTAGTACATGATGTAGTAACAAGGTGCTATGACCGCAGTAGTAGCAATTACAGTAATGTAGCAGGAGCGAACACCTAGGGATAATACCGTCTCCAGTTCACTGTATTGAAATGGTCTGCTCAATGTGATTTGATATTTCTGTACAGTGTAAAGTTAATCAAGTCACTACTGCTTGACGGATAACAGTTTAGATTACTGTGTTGTCGAATTACTGTTGTTACCTCATTCAGAAGAGGGAAGCGCATCACTTCGGAGGACGAAATTAAAGACTATGACGTACTATTGTTGTGGAGGACGAAGATCTTCTGGAGCTGTAATACAACCTGACTTTTTTTTCTTGTTTTACAGTGGTCAAGGCTGACAAGGCAGTTGAGCATTAACTGTTCCTTATCCGGTCTATGACGGCGGGAGATGATCAGTGATTTTGGTTATGGTATGCGGACGCAGACCACGCGCCATGAGTATCGACATGGTATGATAGGCAGCTGCACATAAGAAAAATGTGGAGACGACCATGCATGTCGGCTGATCTTCCTACTTTGACATGTCATATAAACGCGCCGCGGCCCGCTAAATCATGCGGTAGCGTCTAATCCTATGCTGTAGATATTGATCGCGAGTAAAGTAGCCCAAAGTAGATGTCGTAGCGTTTGTTTCGGTGTGCCCAAGGAAGCAACGCTTCGTCACTGATTTCAATATTAAAGGCAGTTGCACGATAAATCCCTCCAAGGTGAATTAGGATATACCCCTGCAGAGATAAGAAGTCCGCTGCGACCCTGAAGGGCTGATAGCCCGAGATTCCCCGAGGAAAGGTGCCCTTATAAAGCCCGGCAGCCACAACAATCCGACCAACGCCGTCACGCTTAGCCCGCCACAAATGGACCGTCTTCTGACGCTTATTCATTCATTTGCTAAGCAAATTATGAAGCGAAGGGATTGGTATGAAGCGGCCGTGATGCTGCATGCATACATGGGTACACATATGCAGCCGTATCTTCGGTAGCGGTGATTGGTAAGATGCCTACGGGAAACTCGTCCGAAATCGATTTACAAGTCACTGAGAACGGAGGCTTTTTCTTCGCAGGATTTTGACCGTTTCACTCCGTTCTTTCGCCATTTCCCCACTATACAGCGCCCTACTAGCATTTTAGGCTAATGTAAGTAGGAAACCATCGTGCCAACTGCCCTTAACATATGAACATTCCACTTGTACGTTCAATATTTCAGACCCGAATCGGATGAAGAGGAGGAGGAAGAGGCGTATGGGCAGTCGCTGACCAGGGGTAGAATTACTTCAATGTCAGCTCCAGAAATGATGGCATCTAGGCAGTCTCTTTATGACAATAACGGTGAGAACACTTGTTCCTGGAAGAACTCATTCCTATGAGGTGTTCGTACCAGGAGCTATTAGCTTGTAATGGGTTCAAACTTCAAAAGGATCTCATCTCCGAATAGAATTCTCAGAAGGCTAACCTTCAGAAGTTTATCAGTGCACACCAAGCTTATCTTTGGTATGGCTAGTCGCGAATCCTTCGCATTGATCTCGGGAACAGGTGCAAAATGTACATGTCATATCCCGGGAAGGGGGTGGAAGCGTAATTATTTGACCGGGCGCCATGTTTTGGCGACGCGAGGTGGGGAATTCTAACGCTTTAGGACAGTTGTATTCAAGCCCTTGACTTACGCAACAAATGACAGCTGCCGTATGGAAATATTGCACGAGATATGTTATGCTGCGCCGTGGCACGCAGCGTGGTGATCAGCTAGTGACTTTGCTAGATGTGTTGTTCGTGAAATAAGGTAAATCCGAGCAAGAGACACAGCTTTCTTTGATCTTTTTTCTTCTATTTTATTTTTCTTCGATCCCCCTCCCCCTCGCAAGGAATAAAGTCAAGGGGTTCTCCAGAAACAGAAACTCAAGGCAAGTGCACTACTTCCAAAAGAGCTAAAGGTTGTAGGTACCCGTGAATGAGTTCTAAAATGTGGTGCCCTCTAGGAGGTGTTCGAGCGGCGTTTTGTGCGCGCCGATTCTTCAAACGCTTCACATCGCCTGCCTGGTACCCTTCTCTGCTAGCCCTACATATCACACTCCCCGGCCTCTGGCCAATGATCTCATGTCAGTTTGATGAGCTATCTAAAGGCAGTGGACCCAATGGCTGGGGGCGGGCGGTTCACCAACATCATTGGTGGAAGGGCTGAGTGGGGTGTGGCCAAAAGCCCTCTTGCGGTCCTTCCGCCAATGTCCTGAAACAACCGCCTCCAGCAATCGCGCCCACTGCTTCCAATCAATAATCAGACTTTCCATTACATATGTTATGTACTAACTAGCAGTGCACGTGTGAATTGCAGTGAAATCGCCACCTACCCCACCACCAAAACCTTTTCAGTCTGAATATGTGCCACCTAATCGACTTCAGCGTAGAGGTGCAATAAGCAGAGGTGGAGGAGGTGGAATTCACATCTCGTATTCTTCAATCTTATTTCGATTTGCACTCCTCAATAGCGGGCACGCACGCGCTGGCGGCGGGGCTTGTGACAACGCTATTGCAGGTGGCTCTGAATGGAGGTGGGACCGACAAGGCCTATACAATCCATCCCACCAATATGAAATCGCGGCGAACCATCTCCCGCCCACACCCCCCATTCGTGCTTCATTCGTTCAGGTTTTCAATGGTTGTTTCTACTGTCTACCAGTCATATTGCATGCCCAGGAATTTCAGAAGAACTCGAAAACCAGTAAAAGTGTGCCAACATTGAATGACTTGGCTGAGTACGAGAAGTACTATCTCAACGACCCGCACGTCTCAATCAAACGAATCGCCGCCAAAGAAAAACAGTGAGGTCTCATCGAAGCTGTGCAGTGATGCATGTGCCTGCACCAATACTCTTATTCTTCCTATCGCTAATTCACGCAGTGTCGTCATCGCCCCGTCCCACCCGCCAATCAGTATCCTATGACTGGAGTAGCAACACAGTTCCTACTCCCCACCTCTTGCCGACCGATTCACTGCTTCAAGCAGCGGCTATACGAATGCAGCATGCTATCATTTTTGTAGGAGAGATAAGACTCACTTCAGTGTTGACCCAATTCGAACTATTCATCGAAGGATGCACCAATACGCGGGCATTTGCTCCAAGACTCAAACCCACTCAGCGGCCGTGCCGTTCTGCCGAGCCACGCGTCCACTCTATGTCACCGATTCGAAATTGTACAGATTGCCGCGGATTGGGAAGTGCACTTCGCCTCCATCATTTTGATGAAAGGACTTAGTTAGGTCATTAGGTTAAATGACAGGTCAATAAAGCGACGAGAGTTGCCATGGGGGGAAAGCGTCTGAAGGGGTGTGACGAATCGCCTCTCACTTCCTATTCACCAATGAACATTTGCGGCAATCGCCCGCACAGTCATCGTGTTCAGAGTCATTAAAAAGTCACACTAGCTAATACTGATCTGTGCTTTTTGATGATGCTTTGTCATTCCGGGTTTCGCGGTTCACTGTAGCGATCAGCCGAATATTACTTATGCTTAAAATGGATCAGTACTCTACTGAGTTAGGCGCTTCGTTTACGTCACATCGAGTTTTAAGTTTTCAGAAAAACGATACACAACACGGTACAGTGATAACCGCTATGATGACGGATACCCCAAGAGAAGTCTGACAAGTGTGTTCTTTGTAACCAAATTTTTTTGCTTATGGCACTACCTTATTACACTCCAAGAGGACGACATAGATGTGTGGCAAGTGGCGCGTTTATCACGCGCACGTTTGATGGGTAAAATGCGAATCAGCTCGGCAGACCAGCAAAACGAGATGCGAATGGATTTGTGAGCAGAGACTACAGTCTTTTTTCGTACGGATACAAGAGGGGTGTCAAGCGAGATGGGCTGAGTATGCTGCGCAAGCCTGTTTTCATTTTGTTGAGACGAAACCAACGAACGAATGTATCATTGTAATTTTGTGATACCACTTAATATGCTCACAAACTGTATGTCGCATACCCGCTATCGCAGCAAGTGGTGGGTATGGGCTTGACGCCGCGTTGCCAAAAAACTCGCTGATCACCCCTTAATTCCGAGCAAACCACTACTATACATGAACAGCGCACTGGCACCCTTGATACTGGCCTAATAGAAGCGCGTAGCAGCAGCGTGGCGCAAAACGGCCCTCTTCACTACACCTCGTTCTTGTTATTTGAGAAAAAAGTGATATATCGGTTGAGTTAAACATGAGGATCTACGTATACTAACTCAGATGACCACTCGTTTGGATAATACGATGAACGACGCAATGAAGCATTTCAACCTCCCCGTGTCATCGATGGTTATCAATCCAACGACGATCGATACCGAACACGATACCAGAACTTGAATACGCAAGCAATTCGGTCTCGCAGCGCAAATGACGACTACCGTAACGACGAGTTCGTTTCGGACTTTGACACGGATGATTCTAAACGAAGGGATAAGCAAGCGCTGGCTAAACATCGGCGGTGAGTCTAGTTTAATTAAAAAAAAATACAAAACTGAGCATTTAATTCTGCAAGTTGGGTAGAGTACGGTGGTAGCCACTTGAAAAATACTGTGAATTTCCAGAAAATATTTGAATGCTCCGCGATCAAGCAGTGAGGTGATCTACAATCGTAGGGATCAAACACATCCTGACGCCTACATTATATAGTGAGTTTTATTCTGTTATTATTAGCGGATGCAAAATTGCAGGCTGGTCCCTGGCGAGGCTTATGGCGCTAGCTTCCATTCAAAAATTGAGGACCACTTTTATGAAAGCGCGGTCATCTACAGTCGTCAGCCGGGCAGTTGATTGGGCGGTCAAAGGCTGCGGACGCGCCTGCGGTGCGTCACGATCTGCGCGCGTTTCACTCGCGGCGATCAGCTGTTCCCATCTGGTTCAGCCTTTTCCTCCTTAATTTTTACTGTATTTCCATTTTTTTGGGTAATTTTGTTGTCTACGAAGTACACTTGAGATCCCTGAAATGAGGTAGGCGTGGGTGCGTACTTCAAATAAACGTCGTGGTGGCTATGCTTTCAAAGAGATACCTTCATTTTGACCCAAATGGTCACGTCTCTGTCCAACAAAGAACAAGATGGCGGTTGTCTCGATTCGAAATATCCCACGAGTAACCAGTTCTGTGCCATGTTCGAATGCCACGCCTACCCCGTCTCAGGGATAAGGAGTATACAGAGGAACGGAGATTCTTTTTTTTGTTTTGTAATGAAGTGTTTTTGGGATTTCTTAGGTATTTGTTCAATTCGAAATTGTTCGCGAAAATCAGAGCAATCCTTGTAAATACAAGGAACAACTAACCTTAAGGAAATTATCTAAAAAAGTAGGGAGAAAATGGCTAAAGCCAACGGAAACAGCTGATCGCCGCCAACAGTTCCTACCTACGCGGTCGCTGCTGCAGCCGCGTCTGCGACCCTTCGACGACCACCTAAACTGCCCGGATGACTACTGTAGGCTCTCGGTAATTTTGTACTGCGCTCATTTCAGTGTGTTCTTGAATGGTCACGGCATGGAATGTCAGCACATACACTTCCAAAAGAAGCAGTTAGCGAAAGGCATGAACTACGTGCTCGAACTGGTCGCACGCCGATTCAATGTGAACCCGATGAAGTGGGTCTTTCTCAATCTTCGCTTGATAGTAGCACTTTGAAAATTTGATTACGTTGCCTAATTTACGTTTAGATTATGTGATATGGATGGACGTAAAATAACGGAACCCTCACAATTGATGTCCAGAGGTGCCTATGTGCTCGTGGCTGCTGGACAGTCATTTCGTGACACCTGGTATTTCCTTCCTGACAATGCTATTGATACCAGGTACATAGCCTTTCCAATTAACTGCCATCCTCCATTTAGGGTGTTAGCGTCGTTGAAGGACCACTTGGCTGCGCCTTTTGGTCCCTCCCCTTAAAGGCACATTCCGCGATAAAATAAGGCTATGACCTCTCAAATGTGTCGGACGATCCGGAAGGCGATTTTTGAGGCTGCGCTACTTTCAAAATGTGAAAAACGGCAAGAACTCCGCTAGAAGCTGACTAATTAGGCCCATGGACACCCCTTAGGCCCATGCCGACCCTCACCGGCTGCTAGCTACTAGTAGCCACTATGTTTTTCTTCTATAACATTTCGGACTGCTTTTTCTGCATGCTTTGTCTTCGCTAATCAGTATTAGCATTGTTACTGTGCCTATTTGAGTTAGGTTTCCCGCGATTTGCGGTCGCGAACTGTGCCTTTAACGACGGTTTAGTCAGTGGACACAATTGTTGGAGACGGCGGTTGCTGCGAACGTCTGGTGGAAAGGCTGTGAGAGGGTGTTTGGCCACACACTCGGTCCTAATGGACATAATGAGCGTGGCAACGAACTGCCCGCCTGGCAGAAATCGTACCCACAAAAGATCTTGATTAGATGAAATCTAAGTCCTTAGTATTTCGCTCAATCAAGAACTGAGGTGGAAGGACCAGAAGCGATCAGCGAGATCGCCTTTTAACGACCTGAACGAGAACGACGGGAACGAGGAAACTGTTTTTAACGGTTTTTTTTAAAGTTGTTTTGAAAAGAATTAATTACAGGCAGTACTTGCGATTTCTATGAAGACTCAATGTACCCCTGGGTGGCAGTATGGGCCCTTTCCCTCCCGTCCATAGGTGGTGCCGCTGAAATATGGTGGGTGACAACTAGGTTGCTAACCGCTAGTGAAGTGGGCGTGAATCCTGCCCGTAGGGACCCCAACTCCACTGATCATAACAATTAGCCTCTACCCTGCCATTTCAGGGTAGTGGTAATGGGTAATGTTCCTCATCTGTTCTTTATAGTCTTGAGTAAGATTTTATTCTGCACTTACTGGAGTAGTAGAACTGTGCTATATTCGAAATTTACTAAACATATGCTAAGCTAGACGGAGCTCTTTTTACCGTCTACTGGGGTAGTTACCGGTCGAATGGCGCTTTTTCTAAAGGCGCGGTCCCGCGATCGGTATTAAAGGTTCAAAGTGATGGCGTCGGAGCAGGACAGAAGTGCCCGCCTATCAACCAAACTATATACCATTTTCGCAGTTTTAGCACACTATGCGATTCGAGATAGAGTCGTCAGAAAAGCTGTCAAGGCCACCGGAGCGACAAATCATTCCGGTGGAGACCGTAAGGAGGAGAATATAAGAATATGAGTAAAAAACATATAATATAGTTATTCGATTCAAATAGCGCGAATAGAGATGTCGTAAAAAGGATAAATAAGAGTACAATCGGATGGTGAGTGTTGGCGTGAGGGCTCCACATGTAAGGCGAGGGATGAACCTTAATCGTTTAAGCATTATTTCTTGTCGATATGATGAGGGCAAAGGGCGTGTATATTGCCGACAGCTTGCGGGTCCAGAGAAAGAATGTAGAAAAACGACGACCTCATAACCGCGATAATGACTAGGCGTGAGACATACGTATTCCATCTCAAACGGGTTCGTGTCGCGCACTTTTTAGATGGGATTGCCTTGATGTATGCATGTCGCATAGCACACGGACAGAATGACAGCCAGGGAACTAAAGTCTAAAAAACGCATCGCCCTTCCCCAGTTGCGATATGAACTTTGAATTCACAGTATTTTCCAGTTTTCATGTGGTATGGCTAGTCCATTTTGCCTCTTCCCTTCATTCTCCTATTTTTTTCCCTGAATTGAGTAGTTAGATACAGCCATATCCCGAAATGGAGCGGCATCTTAATGCCCGACTGAGATAACGGGTAATCGATCTTTAAGCTGGACAGGGCTGATTACGGTTGTTTTCAAAACCGCAATATCTAGAAAAATTGTAGCCGGGCATACGTTCAAAACGCGCGCAGCCACGCATCGCGTCTTTGGTGATGTCGAGTGTAAGTGAATTGGAATAGTAAAAGAGACCGCACGGGCACTCGTTTTGCAGAAACCGCAGTCAGTTCAAGATCTTCCTGCTTTGATTGTCCTTTGTTGGATTGAAATCTAGGTTTCGAGTTTGGATTTCAGATACGGTTTTTAGTCAATGTGTCTATGTCCTTGTTTTCTTAAGAAGTTTCGGCAAAGTTGAATCAGACAGGTCATTTGATGTATGATTTCCAATAATTGAGATGATGTACATGTTCAAGATGAATGTTTATTTCTTGTTTTCATTCTTGGTGTTCTCTAGTTCGCCCGAAACTCGGAGATCCTCAACGAAAAGGACAACGGCTTCTCGGAACGTGTGCACACGAATGAAGAGAAGCTTTCAAAGGTCGCGATTTCTCCAGATTTCGGTTACGTGTACATACTGTGGTTCAAGAGGGCTATATTATTATCAGTTGCGTGAACGATAAAGTAAACGGTTGCATTGTCGGACGGAGCCGCCGTTAACTGGAACCCAATCTACGGTCTTATCCCGCAGATTTACGTTTGATTTTGCGGTATTTGTAGTTGTGAGTTCCTAGAAAATATTACAAAGAAATTCCCGCGATCAGTGTGCGGGTAGTTTTCGGGCTCTGTCATGAACCAGTATACTCCATGGTAGATTCTCAGAAAAAAAGAACGCGGAAAAAAAACATAAGGAACACTTGAAACACAGACGTGCACCCAGACAGGGAACAGCATGTCGATGGGAGTTTTGGTCGAGCCTGTACGAACCCCCCCCTTTTTTGGGGGTTCGGTACGACCCCCCCCTTTTTTTGCCGTTCGGTTTTTTTTCCTTAAATGAAACTATGAAACGCCCACTATGAAATTCTACTTGTATGAAGGTGCCCATACTAAATGGACGACTTGAAGTCATGACATAATAGAACAATACAGAATGATTGTAAACAAAAACAGGAGAATACAATAGTATTATGAGAAAACTTGTATGATAACTTCTGTCGATGGGCCGTTTTGAAAACACATTGGTAAATAACGGTTACTGTATCGCCGGACTTAATTTACAAGAAGCTTACGTTAACAATTGAGGTGGATCTTGCTTGAGAGAGCGGCATCAGCAGGACCACGCATATGTTAACACGTCTTTCCCAAGATTAGGACGAGGAAGAGAAGTAGGCTTGTCTCACTACGTAACAGTTATACAAACCGCCGTAAAATGCATTACCCCGATTATTGGAGTACGGTAGCAGAAGCGCATGTAATTGCAGATGTGACCGCAGATCGTTCGGCAATTTTAGCCATGGAGCGAGAATTTTCAGCAAAGTAGGGTGTCTTTGAAGGACCATAACTCTTCTCAAAAGCGGACCTGTGGGGAGAGGAAGACGGTACGGTGGTGGGTAGAGGAAATGGTTTGCACTTCCTAAAAATACTAAAACGTTTGTGAACGTCGCAAAAATCACAGAGAAATCTGCCATAGGGATTCGTTGGGGAGTGGTTTCAACCGAACAGGTTTTATAATAAATAGATTGTTTTTGATAATAAATCATTTCGAAAATTCTCAGAGAACGGATCGGTGTTTGATGATTTATCTTTCTGAAAAGTTTGAGTGTTTCTGAAGCTCTCAGGGATTGAGAGTCTCGCTATGGGGATTTCTTGAGGACCTTCCCGCTGCCGCGGAAAACCGTTTCTTTGTACGTTTCAAGTGAAGCGTGTTGAGGATAGCCAGGACGACGATTGTAGAGCATAACAGGGAGTATCCTGTGGATGGAAGCGAAGAGCTCTCGCTCTCGCTCTCTGGGCCCGGATAACGCCAATTTGGAGAATGAGCGCGCATGAGGGCGCGCAGAGAGGTGATGGAATGTGTGTAACTTCGTGGTAAGTGTCTTGTTCCACGGAGCGAGCAAATGTGTTCGTAATAAGGTTCAGGAGAGGTCCATGGCCAAAGCCTGTGCACTTGTTGGACAGTGTTTGTCCGTTGGTTATGATGGAATGTCCTGACTACGCTGCACGAGTTCGTGTCACAATTGCTGACTCCGATGAAGGAGACCAACTGCTGGAAAACGTCTGATATGAACGATATGGTAGTCCTGTCGTTTATCGAAAAAAGCAGGTTATCTCAGCGCCAAGCGCGATCGCGGTAACCATTATCATTGCAGGCGACCAGGTTTAGTTGTACTCGCTCTCTCCACCAGCGCCACTTCCGACCTCCTCGCTCTGCAAACCCCCCCCTTACTCTCACTCATCTCTCGCCGCATCTCTCGTTGGATAGTTTGATATAAGTGAAGTTTTGTAACTGATTTTTCTTTGCATATCGGAGTTGGACTCTACCAAAGAGCAGTTTAGTGTGTACAGGACTCAGCGTCACCAATTGAAATTTGAAGGCGCTGTTCTTATGGCTGGCCGACTCGACTACGAACCCCCCCCCCCCTTCCTAGGCGAGCCAAAGTCGAACCCATGTATGGGATTCCACAGGACAACACATGTGCCTGACCACGCGCCTGGAGGATGTGCGTCGGACGCGAAAGGGGCGCGCGCTCATAGCGATTGAGTAGCACAGCTTGAGACGTGCGACGTGGCGATAAGTAAGTTACAGGTGAGCTCGAAAAACACAATAAAGGATTGCTAGATTTCTTATCTCCGTTGCATGAGTACGGGAACGGAGTTAAATGATCGTCCAAATCAGCGCGGTCGGCGCTTTTCCCATCGCTTGCAGAGTATGAAATCCAAAAAAGGTTTGCTGCTCTTTTGTTCACAACCTCCTAATGGAATTGCGCTTGCAAACCATCTGGAACCCCAAAACATCCTATGCGTCTTCAATTCATGTCCAACGGTGCGGGGATTGCGCTTAATCGTATAAACCGGAGGAAGGGATCACCGGAAAGAGGGGAAAGTGCCAGAGGCCTGCGCGCAACAGCGACGAGCGGCGCGATTAAAAGGGTCGGGAAGCAGAGCCCCGAGAAAGCGACGATTCGTCACTCTACGGTCTCGTGAGCACCCTAGGCGAGCATTGACTCGAAATGCTATATATCTGTAGTCGCGCGACTATTGAGGTTATGAAAGAACGGTATCATTCTATTCATCAAGGCGTAGAAGGTTTCCAAAAGGCGCGAAGAATTTTGAAAGACACTTTCGATCTGGAAGTGTCTTCTAATATGCTCTGTCCCAAAGCACTGAGGTGAACTACAACGGCAGGGATCAAAGTCATCCTGACGACAATTACTCACTATAAATAGTTCGCTACGTTTGTTTGTTTGCTTATCAGATTGTTTGTTTGTTTATTTGTTTGTTTGTTTGTCTGTCCGGGGATTCACTTCAGTTCGGAAATTCGGTTCTACCAGAAGAACAACTTCGGAGAGGTGGGGTCAAGGTGGGGATGGGTAGGGCATGGGACAAGATGTAAATAGCACCCGTGACCCATGGTAAACCCAGCCCACAGTGGGCCAGCGTGTGCTGGAAGTTGAATACCACTGAAAAAAGTCTTATTCCGCTCCGGAGCAGTCCCGAGATGGGGTAAAAGTGTTTGACGTAGGATGATCAACGGGAGCAAAGGTGATACAAGTGATTCTTTACCAGTCGGATCGGCCGATCCTCCTTACGCGTGTGAAGTGGGTCCCGGTGAGAAGTTTTCCATGAGAGGGAGGGCCAGTCGGATCGGATCGCCCGAATGGTCGAAAAAAAATTGTTTTGAGAATTACCGCACTTTACCGTTTCACTTCTTGTATATACCCCCCCCCTAGAAGACAGT